GCTGCGTTCAGCAGACTCAACAGTTTTGCAACCGTTTTATGATTGTCTGCTGAGATAGGACCATTCTTCTAGATCTAAAAGTATGATCCAATTAGCGCGAAGGAAACTTACAACAGTTGCAAAACAAACGTTCTGCTGAACGCACCCTATACAGGGGAACTGAAAGAAGAAGGGCCATTTTGATCAACTCATCGATACATGCGATTCCGCCGTTATCGTAGCTGCCAACTTCACGGCGCTCGATTAACAGGGATTTAGGGATCCTCTCGATACAATGGTAATAAAATAGTACTAGTAGTAGCCAACTTCACGTCGCACGACTCGCACGACTGTCAACGGATACTGACGGAGGCTTCGAAAATGCTTTGGCAGACGCGCGCTGATTTCGTTGTCTTATTCGTGTGACTCGGATTGACTCGGACCCGACTGTGGAAGAGTCGTGGAATCATGTGGCCGATGCGGTCGGAGATGACTCGCGACGAGTGCAGGAAGTGCCTACGATGCCTCGGTAAGGTTATGTGGGCTGAGTAATAGCCTCGTTTAACGAGCGAACCTCATCGATGTGCTGCCTTTCGGTTACGTTCCGACTCTTGTGCTGTCCATAAAAAATTCTATCGTGGACGCGAGGCTGCTCTCCGATGCGTTCTTCTGCCGCAGCGACGGCGACGTTGCTGAAATCATGATGTTCACGTTTCTCACTCGTTTCTCACGGGACGTGAAAAACTGAGTCCACTGAGTCCGTCAAAAATTTCAAAGAGCCAATAATGCGTTCAGCAACAGCGGATATGGCTTGGCATGGAAGCATAATTTTCATCTTGTATTTTGTTATTAAACATAGCAGTTGATCTTTGTGTCAAATGGATAAGTTGACAGCTTATTTAATATGAAATACAATATTAGAAGACATAAGCCCAACGTCTGGCATTCTTCTGGCAATGCTGGCAGAGTCTGGACGCTGCAGCTATTATTTTATGTTAATATTAGAAAATGACCTTTGTCTTCTCTAGATAACGCATGGAATTAGACAGCACATTTAACCGTAAATTATAGCATATATAATTTTTGTTTTAAGCTCGTGCCTCGTGTGTATGTAAGAAGACAGTCATGTATAATTAAAAAAAATGTTTTATTATCTATTACACATGGACAATTTATACAAATATTTTGAATAATAAAATATGAATCGAGATATAGAAATATAATTATTTAATAATATATATGCTTATAGTATTTTATGTATGTGCAAAGGTTTTAGTTTTTTTTCACACATTTTCGTTTTTTAATGCATAATATATGCAATAATATTTCATGATATTCAGTCACCAACTTATTCATATGACACATTTTTTGTGACTTTTTAACATCTCTTGTAAATTTTGGATTTTTTTGCGAAAAAAAAGACATTTGTTTGGAGGCAATAAAAACGATCCATTTTCATATCTCACAATCAGCCATATCTTTGAAAGTGCTGTCCATCTGAAGAATGCGTTGATCGGAATAAGTAATTTGAAGGCAGATGGATATGTTGCATGCAAGAGAACTTTTCAGCCCAAGTTAAAAATGGTATGCCGACAAGGAGAGATCTCCAGGTATGTATTACGCGAATTTTGGACAGTTTGATATTAAGATATATAGTTTGATATTCAGAGTTTGTAAAAATAATATGTATAATATTCAAGTGCTATTGGGCTTAGGGCTAAAGGATTAGAGTTACAAAGTTTTAAAATTTGAAATTATCGCACGTGTTACGGATATCAGAAAATGGCTGAATCTGTCTAGTCGTAGTGTCTAACAAGGGGACCAGATATTGGGTACTTTCCAGCAAGGACATAGTTAGACACTGTAACACAGTGAGTCGTTTCATCCTTGTTATTTGCCAACGTTAAACAAGGATGAAAGGACTTACTGTGTTACACAGTGTCTATGTCCTTGCTGGAAAGCACCCATTATCCTCTCGGATTTTATCAAACTGAAAATATAGTATAATGTATGTTATTATAGTATAATATAGTATAAAGTATTTAATGCAATTCACAAGCATTATGAGGGAATCAAAGTGAGTTTTCAACATTTTTGAGCTTACAATAGACGCTATGGCTAGACGCAGTCCATCCTCGGCCATTTGCTCTGTTACATGAATGATCATTTCAAACTGTAAAACTTTGTAACTCCTTTGGCTCATTGGTACCTGAATGTTACATATTATTTTTACAGCGTTAAACTTTATATTTTAATGTTAAACTTTCAAAAATCCGTATGATACCTGAATCTTTCCTTGTGAGTACAGAGAACGTGTAGCAAAATAACCTTTCGGTTTCTCAGTAAATGAATCAGTTTCTGTTGCTAAATGATCTTTTCTATTTGATTTTGTCGATCAAATGATTCAACTGAAAATTATTTTTATTTTGACATTTTTCTCAGTGAAACAATCGTTTAACACACAAAGAAAGAAGTTTCATTTTATATATATATATATATGTATTTATTTCTTCATAATACTATTGATAATTTTTTAAATTTTGTTAACTATTTTATTATATGGGCTGTTTTCCATTATTCACTACGAGTACTGGAAGTACTAATAGGAAGACTATAGCATAGGTAACATGAATTATAGATTTCGTACTTGCAGTGGCACTGAATAACAGAATGCAGCCATGATTAGATAAAAAATAAATAAAACAATATTAGCTCGAATCCAACATCCAACTATATTTTACTGGATAGCTTAAAAATTTATCTTACCACAGTATTACCTACAGTATTTGGTAATAATTGTTTCACCTGGTTGATGAAGATTGTAAAATAACACCATTCATGTTCTATCAAATGTTCAGAAAAGCCTTTTTAGCATGGTTGTTCAATTTTACCCTTATGTATATTATGTGTTAAATTATGTTAAATTATGACATATTTTGATAACAATTCTTCAAAGATGCAAAAAAAACCGGAAATTTACTTAAAATTTAAATAATTATACCAGAGGGCTAAAAAAAGACTAAAATTTTTACACATTTAATATACTATTCTATAAAAATATTGTATAAAAAATATACTTATAATATACAATATTTTTGTTATGCACAAAAAACTATGAATGCGATTACGTAATATAAAATTGAATATTCTGAAATATATCACATAGAATATTACACAAAATAATATTGTTTATTTTTTATCTAATACTAGTATTAATTAATAACAAAATGGATAAAAAGAAATAAATATATATAATAATGCATAGGCTGTAAAATTAATATTACTTGTATCATGCTTTCAAAGCGATTGTTTCGCCGAGAAAAACATAACAAATATAAATAATTGTATTATTTTTAAAATAAATTCCTATTATTTTATTGATTTTTACATCCATACATTCTTCCCCTTCATTACATAAAGTTATCCTGCTTTGGATCCGAAAATATCTAGTCATTATGTAAAATAAATGAAATTGTAGGTCGCATCCAATCTCCCTTACCATTATAGGATTAATACAAATTTTAGATTTAGATAAATACATTTTATGAAATTAGTAACATTCGAATGTCATAATTAATTTTTATATGATGTATTCTGACATATGATCTTTTTATGTTACAGAATTAGACGCTTATGGAAGTATGGTTTCTGTTCTACGTGCTCAAGGTCCTTTCACCAACGAAAAACAGAAATTATTGCAAGAACTTGCTAAAGTATTACATATCTCCAATGAAAGACACCGTGCTGAAATACGGAGAGCTGTGAACGACGAGAAACTTGCAACAATTGCAGAACAGTATGTATTCTATGCGACAGTGAACTTGATTGAAGTTTATAGAAAAATAAAGAGATATTGTTTAATATATAAGTTTAATATATAAATTTATTGCTTAATATATAAAAGATATTGCATATATGAGATTTAATGAAATTATTTATATGAAATAAAGTTTTTTATATTACTATCAAATACATTGTAAAAGATTGAAAGTTTTAAAGACTGAAAGAACAAAAAGACTTTTGTTCATTTAAATAATGCGAATTTATTGTTATCCAGACTTAATGGTCCAAATACTGGTATAGATTGGACTCTTGAAGGTCGTCGATCTATTCCTCTTTTGCCAAGATTGAAGGCACGGTCTGCATTTACGACATTAGCAAATAGCTTATCTCTTACCACTGCGATTGCAAACAATAAGAAACCTGATAGGTGTAATACTGTTAGACAATCTGGAAATTCAACAGGTTAAATGATAATTATAACACTTATATATATTTATATTTATGTTGTATTAATTAAGTTAATTATGTATATATATATATATGTGTGTGTATGTGTGTGTATGTGTTAACAGCTGCTGAAACTGAATCTCATCCTAGCATAAAAATAGAAGAAGGCTTATCTGTAGAGTCAAAATTAAATAGTTTAGAAAATTATCTCGACAACAGTAAAACCTCACAAGAAGTAAGTAAAAATATAATAAATTTAATCTAATTGCAATTTTTCAAATAAACGTTCGTATTATATGTCACATATATACATATACAGGGTATTTCTTAAATAGCGGACACTAATCATATTTCGTCAACCATTGCAAAAATTGCAAAATTGTAGAAGACTTTTTGATTCAATTTTCAATGAGGAATAACGCTATATGATTAGTGTCCGCTATTTAAGAAACAGCCTGTATATGTATTACGATATATATTATATATTTATTTTATTAATCATGTTCTTTAATATATTCATAATTCATAGAATTCAAATTTGATCGAAAATGAGACGATAGATAACAAAGATGTACTTGATAAAGTTACTGAAAAGCCCAAGGAGTCCTCTCGAAAACGCAAATCTCCTTCCCCGTTGCCGACGGCACCACCGAATAAAGTTCTAGTAATATCTGAACCACCGAACCATATTTCGCGGACTTCTGAAAATAAGCAATCACAAGTACTACAAGTAACCAAACATCAAAATTTTGCGTTAATTAAGGTTAACGAGACTTCAGGTTGGTTTCTTTTACTTCTTTCTACTTTCATGTAGATTCGTAGAAAGCAAAAATATCACTTCTATATACATTAGATAGCAAACGAATTACTTAACATAGAACATATTGATTTTTTTGGAAGAGGCTTGTCCAACATTTCGCGCGTGAGTTAAACGTTTCCATTTTCATTAACTCAGCGAGAGAGAGAGAGAGAGAGAGAGAGAACACAAAAAGAATACAATCTATTCAGTAACTAGTTTTGTTCCATCCTTTTTTTTTTCTTTTATCAACAAGATAATAGAGAAATGGAAGCGTTTAGCTTGCAAGCAAAATTGGACTGGCCTTACAAAACTAAAATGATATCAATACCTGAGAACATGCTAAGAAATTACTGTAATCGAAAGAAAAATATCTACATGGTGTTTAAAAATTATTACTTTTTCTAAATTATAAATTATGCGATAAAATGGAAGATGTGCTTTCTTTTTTGGACAAAAAATTTTTTTATACATTCTAATAAATCTTATCAATGGTGCTGGAGAATTTGCGGGTTATCGTCGTGTCGTGATCCATTGCTAATGCCAACGTTTCGTGAATTTTGCCATTTACTTCATCAGGGCGAGGAGCACACTGATACCAATATCAATATCAGTATCAGATAATCTGCAAACCCTTTGACACCTCTGAAGAAAATATCCGTGAAAGCCTCAAAAATATTGTAAATCTTATCAATATATTTTTTATATGTTAATTAATTTTCAATTATTTTTCGTATTAAATTCAGATTCTGTGGAGAGCACAACAGTATCAGAACATCCGAGTGAGTGCACCACAGTTTCATTAAATAAACATGTAATTGTTACAACAACTTCTGTATGCACAAATCGTGTCAGCAATCCTAAGATGGCAGTAAGCACTGACCAGAATAAAATTAATACCAAAGTACTACCAGCAATATCAAGTTGTATATTGAACATAAACAAAGTGCATTCAAGTAAAGACACACAACCTCAAGATAGCACAAGTATGTATCTGCATCTAATTTACAGTGGGTTTAATTTCATAATATACATTCGATTTCTATGCATTGTAACCATCAAAATTTTTTTTATTGTTGCAGACGGTACACAGAAAACTCAACCTGATAATACTAACTCAATATTATCTGATAATGTTAGTTCAAATCCATCAACTACAAAAAGCTGTATGACGCTTTGTGACCCAATTATACAAAATTATACTAGAATGACAAGTAAGATAATAAGTTATAGATATTTATTCATAGTTGATAAGAATGCTTAAAAAATATTGTATGAAACATCTCACAATTATTTTTATAATTGAGGTATGTAAAAATGTAGATAATAAAAAATCTAAATAAATCCTTAGGCGCTCGACTTACACAATCAATGCCTGTGTATCCTGGAACTACAGTATCGAGTGGTCCTGGGCCACCTCAAGTTAAACAAGTTCCCATAACATTAATGTGTACGAAACTGCCATCGGAACAAATTGTAACCTTTGATCAATCCACTGCCAAAACGGTAAATCTAAATATGAGAGAGAGAGAGAGAGAGAGAGAGAGAGAGAGAGAGAGAGAGAGAGAGAGAGAGAAAATATCAGTTCTGTTTAATTTTATATTAAAATTGCTGCAAAAGAATAATGTGGAAATACATTTTATTAAGAGTATATTATTATATTGCTGTAAAATATATGTATATATTTATTTATTTTAGGGTATTTTTCCCAAGAAAGTCATAAATATGCCTCATTATACTAATACTAAATTAAATAAAGCTAACGTGATCGTTATCCAGAAGGCAAAATCTGTAACACTATCACATGCAGGCAAGGTATTCTAATAAGTATCAAGAATACAAAGATAAATATCATAGAACAAAAGTAAAAGTTGAATAGATTTCATTGCATTAATTGCTTTACTGACCATTTCAGGAAGTACTAGGGAAAGTAATAATGGAAGGAAAGAATCTGTGCGTTACGAGCCAACATAATGCAAACTCGATCAACGTTCAACCCCATCATATCTCTCTGAATAATGGAGATCAAACAAAGACTATGCTGCCAATTGCAAACTCGCCACAGAATGCAGAATCTATCAAAACAAACATAAAGGTAATTTATTATATCTTATCGCTATTGTTCCGTTTAGTCTGTTGTCTCTATGTACATCTACAATTATATTTTGCAGTCTGGAAAAGCAACGGTTGTGTCAGTTACGCGTTTTCGGCACGATGTTCAGGAGAACAAAGTTCTCTCGCAGCTTTTTGATTCGCCTGCCATTTGTAATGTTGAGAAATCCAAGACTTTGATACAGGATATAAATGCGTGTTTGCCAAAGGAAGAATGCAACAGCGATAAAAATACAACCGATCGAGAGTCATCTCTAAAAACAGATTCCATGATTACTTCCACATCGGAAGAAACACAGCACAGATCAGTTCAGAGTAATAGTAATAATATCGAGCATAGGTATAACAAATTCTTGATATCAAATCTTAAGGATTTAATAAACGTTTCGATAAATTAATGCTTTTTCTTTCTTGTAGGAAAAATAACGATGTTAACGTGAGTATAAATTCTCAGGACACGAATCTGCTAGAATCTTCAAAATTGTTGGAAAGCAAGGAAATACTGGTCAGGTCAAAGCAAGTACATGGTATGTTGCACAAGTGTAAAAGATGATATATATATATATATATCAAACTTAATTTTAATCAGAAATGAGATGCGTCATTAAAATCAAAACAATGAAATGTAAAAAGTCTATATTCAATTACAGATGATATTGAAGATGATGTTCGAATAGAAAAACCTGACGAAAATGTGGATACGTTTAATGCGACGTCAGAATCGATAAATAAAAATTTGCAGAGCTTCCAGTATCTAGTGGATAACGACGAGAATCACGATTTAGAAAAGTCGTTGAGATCAATGGTGACCGTAAACCAGATGGACGAGCATGATGACTCGTAACAACTAAAGATCTCGCGTTATACGTGTCGTAATTATAATTACACGACGGCAAGGCTGATACTTTCGTTTCGAAAGCGTACTGACATATTTATCATGTATAAGTATATATGCGTATATGTTTCTATTTATATGTATATACATACAAACACACACACACACACAACACGCGCGCGCGCATACGTCTATTTTAACGAGGTTTATATACATATGCTATGTTCAACATTTGTTGCTCCTCAAAAGATTTCGACGATCTCGAAAGGATTGAAAATGATCTTTTCATTATTACGTGTACAAAATGAATAAGATAATCAGATCATTTGTTAAGATTCCGACATTTGAACATATTGATTGATATTAGTACTGTATATAAGTGCCAAATTATATAATCTGCCATTAATTTATACTTTTGTAAAGAATCATGCACGTTTGTTCATTTATTTATCATAATCCCAGTTTGCAATGTAAATTATTCCTTCATCAGCTTTTAGAATTTATCTACTATTTAACAAATTTGACTGTTCAGTTTTAAAAATTATCGAATTATTGAATCAATGCAATTATTGAATTTTACATGTTACATAGCGAAAGGAGAGGTAACTAGATGTGTCAAATTACACTTAAAAATTATTTTATACTTCTGTTTGTAAATATGTGACATTTTTGTAAACGTGATATTATGATGTTAAGTATTAGAAGTTTGGTTTTGTGAATCTGTCACTTGCTCATACTACTGTCGTAGCGGCATTGTAAATATTTTGTAAATGTACTGACATACTCGGACTATTCTGAGAAAAGACGTTGGGTGGATATATACATACTTTCTTCCATCCTATCGCCATTAATAAATTGCAAATGTTAATAAAAGTTTAATGATAGTAATTATAGTTATTAATAGCGAAAGAGGGAAGTATTGTTTTTTGCTATTTTTTAATAAAACTTGCTCATATAGAGCAACAATTTGCTCTCACCTAAGAGAGTGTAACAGGAAAAGGCTATATTTTTTGTAAATGAAATAACACTGCCCTTCGAATTGCAATATCGATGTACTCTATTACTTAGAGTACTTAGACTTTACTGTATTTTATGCAGTATTTTCGCCAAGTTGCAGAATACTTCGCCTACATTCTTATTGTACGAATTTGTAAGCAGCTAATCTTCATCGATATATAAATTGAGATAATTACATTTTCTCAATTAAGTATATTCGGCATGTACTGATTATGAGTGTCTCAGATTTTTCGTATCAAAAGATGGTAGTAATAACGCTTCGCGCCAAATATATATAGAAATATAGCAATCGGAAAAGACTTTACAGCGCTTTACCAGAATGACTTTTAAAGAAAAGTTAGAGCGAATAATTTAATCCTTTGCCTTATAATATTAAGTGAGACTCGTAGTACGAATTACATAAATATAAGAAAAAAAACACGAGTAGGATTCGTGGTAAAAAAATTAAAAATTGTTGTAAAAAGACCGCCAAGCAAACTGTTTACAAGATAAAATCATATCTACAAGCAATGAAAAGATCTTTTTTATATGTTTTTTTTATGTTTTTTTATTTTATTTTATATTATAAAATTTATGTAAAATATATATATATATATGTGTAAAAAAGTAAATAATTTTATATTGTTACTGAATATTTGATGTTCTTTTTATAAAACAATGTTTGAAAGTTTCTTATCACGGTATTATTGGCTTCCAGATGATCGACAAAGGGAGATTAAACATATTGCCAGACACTTAATTATTCCAGCGCGCGAACAACTTTGTCTCTAATAATGAAATGCATGATCACAAATTAAATCGTAAGGCAAATAATTAATTAGTATTTTAAAAATTATTTTTCATCAATATTATCAATTAACTTAGACGAATCTTATTTTAATAATTTCGATGTAAAGCTTTGTTACAGAATAATATTGTATATGTAAAAGATTATTTAAAAAACGCGCACATACAGTATCCACTCAATGGCAATACTCTCATTTAGGAATAAAATTTATAGATGAAAACTGATGCAATAAATCAGAGATACTCTGTTCTATATATCTGTATATATGATAATACTAGTGCAAACTATGTACATATACAAACAATGATATTTACAGTTAATTGCAAAAAATAAAAATATTTAACGTGAATAAACTGATCATTCGTTATTATATAAAATCATAAATTTATTTTAATCAATTTAACTAAAAAAGAGAGTTACACGAGTTTCCGAATATAGATAATGAACATTACCTGAGTAGACTTTATTATTTATTATGAATATTTTTTAATCTTATCAAACTGTTATACATTCACACAAAAATTTTGTAAGGAATGAAGAGTATGATATATTAATATTAAAAAAGAATTTCTTATTCTTAATTATATTGTTACGCCCGTGTCGGGTTGGCTTGAGCGAATCCATTCGACTCTACTATGTAACAATATTATTATGAAATATCTTTTAATAATCCAGTAACTAATATGGACGAGGTGGACCGCCGCGCATCAAACCTGGAGGTGGACCTCTCATGCCAGGTGGTCCCATCGGTGGACCACCACGTCCTATAGGTGGCATTCCGGGTGGCATACCTATAAAATCGCAAAAAGTATATACATATATATATATATTTCGTAACTATTTCTGAATTATATAATTTGATAATTTTTTAAATTAACACACAAAATACTACTAATACATTGGACCATTTTTATAAATGATCATTGATGAAGAACTCAAAAAGGTACTAGATTTATATCAAATATATATTGCATAATAGTTGTATTTAATGGAATAAAAAAATCATAAAATTTCTTTTAAATATATTATAAAATGTGTTAATAAGTATCGAATAAAAAAATTAAAATATCATGTATGCTAAATATTGGAATATGAATTTAGCAAAGGAAGAAACAATCGCTCATCAAGTTATTCTTAGATTATAAAAAAAGGAAAATAAAAAAAGGAAAATAAAAAAAGGAAAAATAAGGATATCTCAAGAGTTGCGATTTTTTAAGAGTAAAAAAAATCTTACCCATCATTCCAGCTGGTGGTCCCATCATGCCTGGTGGCGGTCCACCGACTGGCATACGTGGTGGACCACCAGGATGTATTTGAGGTGGTGCCGAGACCTGACCTCTGCTGCCAGGTGTCATGATTTGTTGGGATGGACCTCCGACACCCCTGACTGGTCCTTGAAGTCCTGCCGGCACACCTGCAACGTTCGCTGGCATACCTCTGCCAGCAGCACGAGCCATACCTGGTCCTGGTGCAGCTCCTGGGATCGGTACTCTAGGCAATCCTTCCTCTGGAGGCGGTGGACCCTCGACCGTCAAGGAAACAATATTTTCGCCGCGTAGAAGCACAAAGCCCAGCACACGTTTTTCTTCTCTCTCTGGTTGCTTTGTATTTTTTGGCTTGATTTTGCGAAACTCTTCACAGTCACCAAGTATCAGATTCATATGTTTATCAAAGGCCTTAAATGTGCCTATAAATGTTCTAGAGTCTTGTAGGATGATCCTAACTCTATAGTTTATATGCTGTAGCATTTTATTATTCTTGCCAATCGTCTGAAAAATAGTAAATAATTTGTTACTTAAAAAATATATGTATCTTTTTATGTTAACAATCTGATATTTATTTAAAAATAAATTATTTGGATACAATTTATCCATTCCTCATGTATGTTTATTATGCGATGCATTCTTAGATATGTTTTGTTGTTTAGATTTCGAGCTGAACGAATACTAACAAAATAATATTAACAATAAAACATGTTTTATGCTTTATAATAAAAACTATGCTTTAAACAAAAAAAAAAGTCCCAGAATTTTGCTCTATTAAAGTATATTCAACTTTTGTCAGAATATTATCTTTGAAAATATGAGACCTGTCGTATATATACTTTTTAAATATATACTGTTTATTCATTATCTTCATTTTTTAATATAAAGTATATCTTAATTTTATTTATTATAGAAACTTTTACTCGGAAAATTAATCTAGCATTTTGTTTGGTTAGAAATGCGAGTTTAAATCTCAAATGCAAAAGAAATTGAAAAGGATCATAAATCAAGACAAATTTTAAAGATTATTACGTTATAAAAAATTTAATAATGATTATTATTGTCACTTACCATCTTGGCTGATTGTTTTCAACGTAGAGCACAAAAATTAGTTACGAAAAATCCGCACGGAACTTTTACCGCATAACCTCTTCCAACATAAAGAAGCTAAACCGCCAAACATGGCACTGTACCCAACTGTACCTGAGTGTACCCATGGTGTAAATATGTATAAAGCTGGTTCTACATTAGTTGCATCGCAACGTCGCAAGCGTTACGGTCCAATCAACGTCAAGCTAGCTCGACTCTGATTGGACTGCAACGCTTGCGACACGCTTTAACATCACTTGTAAAATTACTTCTCAACATATATCAGTTTTTTAATTTCTAGAGCCCGATTAAATTTTTTATTTTTAATTAGAGTTCGTTCAAAATCCAAGATATCTTACATAATTTTTTATATGAAACAATTAAGATTCAGAAATTTATAAATGCTTAATGCTAAATACGAATACTTTTTTAGATAAAATTTTAATTTTTTTATGTATATAAAACAATATTTGCATTTTTTATATATAAAAAATATGTTATATATATATTATATATAAAAAAATGCAAGTATCGTTGCGGCCGAGAAAGAATAATTTCCACGGTAACTTCACATTTTTCGCGTAAATGTGCTGCATTCACAATCTATAGAGAAATGAATGTTCGATAAGCTTAATGAAAAATCCACTCGGCTTTGTTTCACTCTCTGTCAATTTGTATGTAACTTTAAATATTATAAATAATTTATGTAAATTTCGCGAGTATGCGTGTCGAAGGAAAGCAAACCGTTCAAGTTTTAGCTGCTCCCTGCAAATTGAACACCATTAATTCTATCGTTAAACATGAACAATCTCAACAAGCAGACAATTCTGGCTTGTACAGAAAAGTAAAAAGGAATACCATATAATATTAAAAAATTTATTACGTAAGATAATAATATAAGTAATACGCGAATTTAATTTTTATTATTAGATTTTGGATGAGCCCAAGTATTCTAGCAAAGACAATTTGTCTCTTCAATCTTCAATAGGTGTGATCAATGAGGATGAAGTTTCGAATATATTAAGCGAGACTGAAAATTTAGATATCGGGAAATATGATACATTCACATCTAAAAGTAATATGATTCAACAACTTGAATATGTTTCGTGGAAGTACAAAAATCCGTATAGTATTTCTATTACCAATCATATGGATTATGAAAAATATAGTCACACATTAGGTAAATATACAATATTATGTAAATATAATACCTTAACACAATAACAGTATTACTTCATTATATATTAATAATCGATTATTTAACAAAATCATGATTTGTGGTAATTATGCTAGTCAAGTAATTAATCATTAAATTTCTTTATTTGTTACTTATTGGGGTATTACAAATCTTTATGTAATAAAAATTTTGTCTATAGCATCAATTCTTGCGCTAAACACATGTAATTATAAAAAATCTTATATTGATACAATTTAAAAAAAATTTTATGTAAGTTGACTTAATGCACATAAGAAATATTTTTAAAAAAATACAAATCAAACACTAGGTAATCGAATTATGTTGTAACACTGTAGAGAATGTTTTCAAAGAGGACGAGCCCCAGGAAGGAAGAGCAAAGCAAAGCATTCTCTCCAATTGTCGAGAGTATTTAGCTACCTATCAGGAATCTTGTGGTACACCACGTACCGAATATTCCTTCGCTGCTTTGATCATAGTAATGGCTCAGGCTACGGCACGATCTTTGTTGGGACTGATATACATGATCATTAATGTCGTTCCTGTTATTCAGGTGATTATATAAGCGCTTTTCTAAATCCTCTGTGTCAGTGAATCGAAAGTAAAGGATTAAATGCATATCTCTTGAAACATGAATTCCAGATGTTTTCTTTCATATTGAGATTCGTATTAGACAAGATAATCGATATATGCAGGACTAAGAATATTCAGCAAGTAGCTGTAAAACTCACAATTTTCATCATACAATTGCTCAGCGTATACATCTGCCTTATATTTATATTTGGCTTCATCGTTTTGCCGATTGTACAAATGGCAATTGGTATTGCAACTAAATTTGTAATGCGCAATTAAAACGTAGTATTATATTGTAAAAGGCGAATAAAATCATGATAGTGTAACCCTTACAGAAATTCTTTAATTGCGATTTAATCTTTCTTTGTACAAATTTATGAGCACACATGACAATCTTTGTTAATCATTTCTTTACGATACCTTACATGATAAAATTCACAAATCAGTTTGAGGACTGAATAAAAGGCAATGAAGTTGAGAAAAAGACGTTTAATAAACAGCAGCTAAAATGACTGAAAACACCAAGAAAATAGTGTTCAACTCGATAGTGCTTGCCGTGGCCCATTCGCATTCCAGCTCCGTTTTTAACAAATTTGATAACGATACGTTGTTTTTGTTCAGACAGAACGTTTCGCGGATATCGTCATCCCAACCGTTGTCCCAACAACTAAATTCGTCGCCCTCTTCTCGCTCGAAATTCTGGAATTTATCGTAAGAAATACATCGATCCTCTTGATATTGTCTGTGTTTCCTCTGCCATATTTCTATCCATCTAATTAAAAAGAAATTATTATTACTCATTAACCTTAGGAGATCAATTGATATTTTGCAAATCAGCATATAATGAAGAATTACGTTACAAAAAGAATAAAACAATAAAACTTTATAAGTTTTAAAATCAAATAAATGTATTAATTTGTTTTTTGTATTGTCATATTTTAAAATAATGGCATTGCAGTTTATTAATATACACTTTGTTTATTTTAAATCTATATTCAACGTTCACAAGTATTTTACTATAACAATTTAATTTTATTGTATCATACCCAATATCGCAATCACAATTGACATGATTATCCGCTAATCGAAGTTTCATGAGGAATCGCTGGCCCGGTACTCCCGGTTTGTAACTGATTGATGGATTATGCAATGATCGTATATCGCTATCGCGGATTTCCACGGTCATATTACGCACACGCTGCGCGTTTCTAAATATTTCTCGCGGCACAATCGCCACGCTGGTATTGTACAAACTGAAATGAAGATGGGGATTTCGCATACCCTAAAAAGTTACTCAATGTATACTTCAAATACCAATACGTAATAATAATATTGAACATTTTTAAGTAAAATTCATGACTAACTACTTTTATTAAAATTTAAACTTTACGATGATATATAGAATTACTACAGATAGTTCTCATAAAAATTAAATAAAATTTAATAAGTTAAACTAGTTCTGAGTCAGAATTATTTTGATCCAAACAGTTAAATTTTCGTTTAAATAAAAAATACGTTCATGAAAAAATACATCAGAGATTTCATAAAAATCTCTTAACTATGAGTCAAAAAACGAAAACTTACGTGTAGTATTTCTGGATGTATAGTCTTTAAAGCTTTACCAGTTAACGTAATGTTGTATAATTTGTAAGGAAATTTCCCTGTCATTTCCTTCTCTAGATTGGTGTCATTTTGAATCTATTACAAATATTATATGTTCAGTAAATCTAATTTTTATGGTACGCTATTCATCCAGTACTCACATCAATGAGCAAATGTTTTAAACCATGGTTATATTCTAGGATGTTGGGAAAGTTGAAATTCTTTATACTATTGTACGTAGTAATATGTAGTTTGCGAAGTTTGGTAGCTTTGCAAAGTGCTCCTGCCTATAAAAATCGATTCGTGTCTATGACGAGATCTTACAAAATTTGTGACATGCAAATTCGAAATATAAATACAAACTTACTTCAAAGATTGATAGACTGAGTTTTCGTATATCGAGCTCTTCGAGACTATCAGCCACACCGAGAAAACTAGTATTTGTAATAGCAGTAATGGGATTGTTCGCCAAATTGAAGGTCTTTAATTCCGGTAATGTGTGAGTAATCAACGGTACCACTGTTAAATCATTGTAACTTAAATCTAAATAATGAAGAGATGTAAGATTGGACGACATTTCTGGGGGAATCGTTGCCAACCCGTTATGTGCCAGATTTAAGGTTTGCAATCGTCTTAGAGGCAACTCTGGAATCTACATTACGTATTACATGCTACTGTTCTATACGCTTTTTGCATAATAAAATACTTACACTCAAGAGAGAAATATTGCTCAGACCAAGATACAGAAGTGTGTCCTCTAAACCGTAGAACGTTCTTCCGCGACTTTCCAAAATAAGTTGTTTATTGTGGCTTAAATCAAGATGAGCTAGATATGGTAGATCAGAAAATACGCCGTCGTCTAATCTAACAAGTCGATTATATGATAGATCTAACCACACAAGACCCTATTGAAAAATAGTACATTAAAAAATATACAAATATAATGTATATCTAATAATATATACATATACAATAATATAATACATAATGGCTGCGTTTGGAAACGTCGCTTCCGAATGCAGCCAATATAATCTATAATATAATTAATTAGCGGTAAACAATCAAACGACATAGTTAATAAAAAACAAATAGCTATTTTAGAGTTCTCAGAGTAATGAACTTACTCTAAGTCTGAATATCGTGTCGGTGGTGTGAATCCCCGATAGAATGTTCCAGGACATATCCAAATTTACCAAATTTGCAGTAGATGTCACCGACATACTTTTGACGGGCAGTCTCGTGAATTGATTGTGCGAGAGATCAAGACTCTCTATATCAGAGTCAGTAAACATGTTGTCCGGCAGTGTTCTCAGCTTGTTATAAGACAAATCCACGATGCGCAGTTTTTTCAAGGATCTTAGAGTCTCCGCTGGGATGTCCGTGATTTCGTTCCAGGAGAAAAGTAATACTTGCAAGTTGTTTGTGTTCTTCAAGCAATCAAAATATATCTCTATCAGCTCATTATGTCTCAGATCGAGCCATTGCAAGTGAGGCATATTGCCAAAGACATCCTGAGTGATGTTTTTTAATTGATTGTTTGACAGATACAGATGAGTGAGTGAGTACTCGACCGGCTTGAAGTAATACTTCGCAATATCGGAGATATTATTGTAACTCAAATCCAGAACTTTGATGTTTGATTGCACATTACCACCAACTAAAAGAAATGTGGAAATTAAGAATATCAGTTTAAAAATGATGATAACTATAAAAACAGTTTAATATAAATAGAGAAAAGTAAATAATATTAAATAATTTAAATAAAATAAAAGAAAACGAAATGATTCAAAATTAAATTTTATATTCATTATTTATAATTTCTAAATCAAAAAGTTAATATTTCTTATGAGAGATTACGTTTATTAAACATGTAAACTCACCGACAGATGAAGATATGAAAGAGGTGCTATTTACCAATAATCTTGAAATTTCATTGTGGCTAACGTTGACTTTGAATGACGATAATGTACCCACTTGATCGAATGAGGCGAAGTCAAATTCATTAAGATTGTTATATGCAAGATCAAGAAACTCAAGATCTGGTAAATTCTAAAACAGTATATTCATCAATAATGTATATAATACTTTTTAAATATTAATTTATCACTAAATTTTTACTTAGAATGAATACAAAATAATTAATGCTTATAAAATTATTTTTTAACAATAAAAATTATAATTTTAATTGCATTAAATTTTAAAAATCCAAATAACAGAATCTTTATTTTTAATTAATTCTAAATTGGTTTTAGTTTAACAAAGATTTAACATGTATGCATATATTAAATTACTTGAAAGGCTTCATCGGTGATGTCTCTAATCTTGTTGCCACGTAGATTGATATATTTAAGTCGGTTCATATTGATAAAAGCTCGTCTTTCGATCCTCTCGATGGTATTGTCCTCCAGATTAATTGTTATTAAAGCCGACAAATCGACGAATGTATTAGTTTGCAGATTCCTCACTTGATTAAAAGCGAAGTTGATTTCTTCCAGTGTTGAATGGATGTCACCCTAATCAAATAATTTTTTGTCATATAAGGTATATGTCATATAAAGAAGCAACTTACTTGAAAGATACCCGTCGGTATGCTATCAATTTCATTATCCTGAAGCTCAATGCGTTTTATCCTTTTTAAAAAATGAAAAGATGTAGCAGGTAAAAATCGTATCTTATTATTGCTAAGATCAAGATGCTGCAAATTCGTTAACGATTTAAATGGCCGATTTGGAATTTCAGACATTGAGGAGGAGAGACCATGAGACATTCTTAATGTTAACAGAGAATAGCCCACCTATATGTAAAATTAAAAAAAAAATTTAGGCAACTTAGTATTGTTTATATAATTTTTATAATACACATAGTAACATTTAGGCCGGTATTCATAGTTGATTCTTATATTTAAGACCAATTTAATCATGAGGCCTGTTCTTTTTAGCTGAATTTTTGCACCAGTTCATCTTTCTTCCTCTTCTTCCCTCCTGGAGAGAAAAGGAAGAAAGATGAACTGGTGCAAAATTTCAGCCAAAAAGAACAGGCCTATGGTGACATCTTAAAATGTCATAAGCCAGAGCCGTACTGCATCTCAAGACATTACTTAAGACGATCTTAAAATAAGAATTAATTATGAATACCGGTTTAATTTTAATTAATTAATTTTTATAAAGATTTAACTCCTCTAACTTACTCCTACAGCACAAAGTTGTACAAAAGTTGCAGTAACATTGCAAAGATTTTGCAGCGATATTGCTGCAAATTCTGTGCTGGGATATTAAGTTAGCTAAGAAAATTTGATAAACGGAATAAAAAATTTACCTCCGAGAAAGCATCATCATCTATAGTCGATATCGAGTTTTCAGAAAAATCAAGATACTTGATTCCGCGAACGTGCATGAAAGCGTGACTTTTGATCGTGTTCAGATTACTATTAATTATCCGTAATTCTTTGATGTCCATACCAAATTCTAGAAAATCATTCGCTGATAAGATTGTTTGTGGCATTCGGGAGATCGAGAGGAAACGCAAATTTCTCATTTGTCGTAGGTCTTGAAGGGAAATCATGCCGTTCTGCTTGCCGCTGAGGTCCAAATTATACAAATATTGAAAGCCACTAAATACTTCAGCTGAAAATACACATCATGAGGATCATGCTTGTTTTGTGTCCGCCAATTGCGAAAAATATGCACTATTTATACTTGGCGAAAATGTGTTGATACGATTCTCGCGGAAGATGAGCGTACGCAGGAGATTGAATTCTTGAAATAGATGATTAGGAAGCATAGTTATATTATTTCCTGACACGTCCAATAATTCGAGCGACGATTCTAAGCCGGCTAAGTTAGCCGAGTTGATCTCCAGCAAATCGCAATCGCTCAAATATAGCTCACGAATACGCGAATCTTTGAACGTACCTTCCTTTAATTGTGAATATTCGATATATATAACTATCAATGTTATTATTTAATAGACAGGGCTGGGTATTTTTGCATTTAAAATGCCATTTAAAATGTAATTCTATTTAAAATGCTAAATGTAAAATACTTAAAAAAATGTATATTAAAATGTATGTAAGGAAAACCATTCTGTATTTGAAAACTATTTAAAATATCTATTTACCCATTTTACATATAAAGTGAATTCGAAAAACATTTTACATTTTAAATACATTTTTTAAGTATTTTACATTTGGCATTTTAAATGATTACCCAGCTCTGTTAATAGATACTATCAATATAAGATCTTAATTTCTTAGGTATTTCTAAATATTCTTTTAACTTCGTGATGTGTTTGATTTAAATCTTATCAAATTATATATAATTTTTAATTTATCATCATACCTCGATAGTCATCAAAGGATTGCCTCTAAGATACGTGCGGTTGACCTTGTAAAAATGTTGAAAATCACCGGATGCGAGAGTTTCGATCTGATTATAATCCAGTTGTAACACATCCAGAGGCATCTGTCTACCCCTGATCTCCGGTTCCTGTTGAGCGTGTAGCATTTTCGATATCTTGTTGTAACTGAGATCAAGTACCTTCATGCGCTTCAATAAGAACAATTGGGTATACGGCACGTATGTCAGTTGATTGTCATTCAAATAAAGGTGCGTCAGGTGAGCCATCTCATCTTTGAATATCGAAGGATCGATCTCCTTCAAACTATTTTCTCGAAGATCAAGGCTCTCTAAATATGTAAGACTGACGAAGGCATCGACTGGCAATTTTTCAATCGCGTTTTTTCCCAAATGTAGAATTTTCAAAGAGTTCTCCAAACCACGCCAATTTTCCGGCACAATGCGAGATATCTTGTTGCCTGCATACAAAATTATGCATATAATAATATTACACTTGTCAACTTATTATGTTACATCAATTTTTTTGTATAATATTTTTAAAGTTATTATAAATAATAATACAGCTATTATAAATAGTAATTCTCTCTCTCTCTTGTGTTCAATCTAAATAAATATTCTGATTGCTTGAACTTATTATTAGATGCTAAGAAATTCGGCACATTTTTATTTCAAAACTTATTTAAGATTGTATGTAAAATTATTATTAGAGTCTGGATTAAAGTTCTGAGATTGTGTCAACCGTAGCTGACTGTCCCCACTACATCTCATCCCTCACTGTCGTGGCACCGTCCCTCGCCACGGCTTTGGACGAGTGGTAGTGGAGAGAATCGTGAAGAACTCGCTACGGTCGACTCGAATCGATACATCGGTTGGCGGATAATTCGGACTCTAATTATTACAAACTTTAATAATTTTTTATATGACGTCATGCTTTTAGATTATTACAAGTGTCAATAGATTTTTCAGAACTATAATTGGTATAATTATATTTGATTTATTTCGGTAAAAGCGATAGCGAATACCTGTGAGTTCGAGAACTTCCAGTTTTTGTAAATGTCTAAATGATTTGCTCGGTACGCTTGCGAGTTGATTGTAGGACAAGTCGAGCATCGATAATGATCTTTCAAGACCTAGAAAGGCTTCTTCCGGAATGTCCACCAGGGGATTATGCTTAATCTGTAGTTGGTAGAGACCTAAAATATATAAAACATTACATCATTTTGGAAAAAAAAACATTACGGATTCTTTACATATCTATGGGTCAATGTATTTTCAAAATTACAACTAAAAATACATTTAATATTTTAAATAACAATAAAACATTTCAATAAAATGTTATTTTAAAAATAAAAATCCATATGTATAAATATTTTATCAAAGTAAAAATGCTGTTTTAAATTATATATAAAAAAATTATTTGTAATGAAAATTAAAAAAAAGATAACACGAGATAAGACATGTAATCTGTGATTTTTCATTTCATCGTAATATTAATTAGTTCAATCAAATACCAGTATTCATAAGATATTGTGGCTGCAGAAACCTCAGCCCATTGTTCTCTAGTTGCAGACTATACATTTTGGATGAATTAATTGGCTGCGGTATTCGTGGCATCGGTACACTGTAGCACGCCACTTTGCCAAGATCCGGCATGGCTTTCGAACAAGTGCAAAGCGGATTAAAGAAACACGGTGGATAGTGGACCGGTAGCTCATGCATTCGCGCCATGGACGCCCACATCATCAGCAACAGGATTATCACCAGCATAACGTATGCGACCTTCACCAAAGTAAAGAGCTTCTGCAAATCATCGATTCTGCATATTGGATTCGCTTCGAAGGTGACATCGTGTAGAGACAGAAACTCTTTTTTGTTATAAGTAAAACCTCTATCCAAATATACGTAAAGTTCTCCAAACATTAATAATTATTTAACCCTGAACCACATGAGTGGATCATTTAGACCTGGGTGAAAATTTTAGTCGGCCGCAATTTTTGTACGGTTAATATTGCAGAGTTGAAGTGAAGGGGTAAAAAAAACTTGGAATCTTTCTCTGTCAATCGCCGTGATACAATTGTTTCGTTTTTGTCTTGATCTTGATGCTAATTGTGATACAATAAAAGTTTGGTTTGGGTGGCTTGGATTCGTCAAATGTAAATTAGAGATTTTTGCCGAAAATGAAAATTCGTTTTTAATAAGTGCCTACTTATTAGTGCTGCCTCAATATTACACGAATTATTAGAGATACCTGTAATTTGCACAATTAATCACATTAAATAAATCATTATTACAATTATCATCATCATTTGAATGCTTGAAGACTGGGTTTCTAAGTGTCAGTTCACGTCAAATATCATGTGTGTAATTTTAATTATTATAATTATTCAATTGTGACAATCTATCATAACTTTGCCATCCATTTCACTTTTCTTGCTTCAAAAGTTCAATAAACTTTTCTTGTATAAAAATCTTATTGTGTTTTTATAACTTCTCATACAAAAGATATCATCCTTTTAAAACAATACATTTTCAAAACAATACACTTTGTCTTTCTTTGTTTTTAATAATGATTATTCCTTATGCAAAGTACTGCCGAAGTCTTCAGTAGCTGTAATACGATTAATGAATACTACATTCGCAGATGAGTTACAAATAGGAATTTTACCATGCTCTTTTAGATTATCCTCTGCTTCTTTCCGTGTATTGTATTCCTTCGCCAACATCGAACAACAAACACTAACTGATCATACGCGGTGGTCAGACACATTCGATCGCCGTTGTTCGCGATAGGGCTTCGCGTGCATACTGACAGTCTCAGTGCTTCTCTTTACCCAATTACGAATATTATATTTCATTATACAGCGATTGAATAAAGTTGTGCGCATAAAGCCATTTAAAAATTCACTCGTTGAAGTCTGTAAATATATTTAAACCGCATAATCAGAATAACAGTTTCGTGACTACCACGTTAGCATTCAATTTTGATATTTCGATATCATTTTGAATTTTTGTATAAAAGCTTTAATTTCACCTTTTTTGTTTAGATATAACAGCGCACAGTGACATAAGAATGGATAGAAGATTAATAGAAAGTATCGTAGTTAAACCAGCCATATATTTAGGCGAATTATAAAATTTTTCTTATCTATATATTATTATATATAAAAACGATACGTCTATTTCGATAATGTTTTACATAAATGTAACGTGCGTACAGCACATTATCGATAGACTTTCACATCTGTAATGCGTTGTAACAAGAAATATTGTATATAGATACATTTACATATATATATATATTAAATATATATATAATAAAAACATCGATAAAAAATATCTGTCTTTCCTAACGTTGCGACCAGAAGACTACATTGTTTTGTGTGCGTTTCCATTGCTGACTGCTTCGGCGAGATTAGTTTTGTCCTTCACGGTTGATTGTTTGTGCGTTTTCCGTGACAGCCCTAGACGGGGTGGAAGTAATATCGCGATCAAACCCAATAAATGCGGGAGCAGGTACAAATACCTAATAACAAAGAAAAAAATAATGCGTTGGTCAAAAAGTCGGGTTTTATAATTAAGAACGTGTCCCTCGATTCAAAATTCGAATGTCGAAGATTACATTCCTACGATCCTAGTTAACAATGGATGGCTTACAGGTACACTTTGATGCTTGGTACAAATTCTAATAATATAAAGCTGAATGTCATGTAGGCCATTAGAATTCTCGTTATAATCAACGTTAAGACATCATAAAAAATCTTCTTTCGTTGAGATTCCAGGAACATCGGCCGGACGTAGCGACGGATCTATTGTAACAATACAGAAGATTGAAAATCAGCGGCCTGCTTTGTTCACAATACTTAATATACAGCACAATAGTTCAAATTTACTAACCGAACGTGCCGCTACAGTGAAGAACGCTCCGCTTGCGAATGTGAGATAATAGCCAGGATAAAAACCATGCCATAAAGCGGACAAGGCGTACGTATATATCACTTTGTTATGACCAGCTCGTTCGTACATGATCGATCGTAGCCATAAATTTGTGCCCTTGTTCCAGCTGTCGATGCTATCCTTAAGATTAAGCGATGTCTGAAAATAGATTAGACAATAAACTGCAAGAGTAATTTTAGATAAACATGAGTTCCATCATGTATAGTGGCAATAAGAAGACGAATTTGAGTGCCTTGTTCTTTTGTAATATTTAATCGCCAGTTATACTTAGAAATTTTAATTATGTTAGAACTTCGTAATAGCGCACAATTCGAGATTCTGAACTTAATAACGAGGTGTTGTCCCCTTTATTAAACTTCAATAAACCATTAAGGGTCTTATTGGGGGTTGCTGTTAATCTATATCCACACTTACACTACTCACGTGTGTGAGAGGAAGGAATTTATGCGCTAATTTGAAGTTCGCTATTACGAGTATACTTTTATTTATATATTGTAAACAGTACACATATCGCACCTCAAACTTAAAAACGTCGACGTTCGAAGCTAAGTCCCAGCGGGCTTTGCCTCGTTCATCATAACCGTTGAATCCAAGGCCAGAATTGTTATATATGGCATCAGCGAACAACCACGCGTGATAGTATTTGAAACGCGCGAGCATAGTCGTCAGCATTAAGTACAATATTTTGTAAAATATACTTGTGTTCTCCAGGAATTCGTCATCTAAAAGAAAAATATATAATTACGGCGATATGTATTGTACGTGGCAAGATTGAAAATAAAGGATTCAAACAAACCTTTTACATACTGTATCGGGAAGATCGGGATAAATGTGATGAATATAATGGCGCATACTAAACTTGCCGCGACTTTCTTCACAACGACCAGAGTCGGTGACGGCTCCAGAATAATCTCCTTCTCTTGGCTATTTTTGTCATAGAATCCCTAAAACAATTGTTATTAAAGTAAATGTTTTTTAAATTTATATTATTATATATAAATAGCAACTGTTTGCTAAATTGACAACTCTATAGTTTACACAACATTACATTATAAAATAATCAATTTTTATCTTAGGATAAAAGATATCAGTTCTAAAAGAATTTTAATAGGCATTTTAAGGTCTTATATCAGTATCCTTACGGTTAAAGATTTAGCACCAGGCAAGTGATGTCCATGTATGAAATCGACATAATCACGGTAGAATATTACTGGACCAGCCATTAAGGCTTGAAAGTGAAAGATGTAGCTAAAGTATTCCAAAGTAGTTGGCATCTTCCTGTAAAGTTAACATTAAAAGAATATTTTTTGTGGTAACATACACAATAAAAAACTGAGTATTCCTCCGTTTGCGTCGTTTTATCAATAATTCATTTGTATTAATAAATTTTTTCAGATTAAAATTTAAATATCATCTTCTGTTCTAAAAGCGTATTAACTATTATATACAAATATATTACGATTTTAGATATAAATGTATAAACAGGTTTATAAGTAAAAATACATTTTACTAATAAATACGATTTATAACACTTTGATGGCCGCTGTCACGTACACATGATTTCGTTAGGCAACAATCGGTGTCACATGACGCGATTTCACGGTTCTTAATGTCTATATTTTAAATTCATATTTCAATTCTTTTTTTTTTGTTTTATGATTACATTCTTAATGTTTTATAATTGTTTTGGACGGTATTTTTAGAAATTTTTCATGCTTTACTTTAATCAGTCTGAAATAATATTTTATTATATTCAAATCGCTTATTTTTAACTTTTAATAATTTATATTTTATATTTGTAAAATATTCTAAAAAAATATTCTGGGAAAAGTGCTGGTGGCAGGTCCAAATATTCGCGTAAATATGCGGTCATCAAAGTGATAAGTAATGATTTTAACATCATAAAATAATTATCAGGACTGTTCATTATGTTCAATTGATATTTCTTAATATCTTAATATGCTCAATATAAATAACAACGCGCACGGGGCAGGGGGTTTCACCTTTGCCGACCGTAAAATTAGCCCATTTTTATGAATTTTTTTTACAGAAAAACGCGGGTTTTTGCATGAAATTATGTAATATTTAAACAGCAAAAAAAATTTTTAATTAGATAAAGATATATTTTAATGCCTCCAAATGGTAATTGAATTAGGAGTCATCCGCAAAACACGTCCCCATGACAGAAGTAATACAGCCTCTGTAAATCATGTGAAATCGAAATTTGTTCCATTTTTATTAATGTCGTTATGGCATGAACTAACATTATGTCAATTGTCTGAAATTTATAAAAATGCTGGCATTTAAAAAAAAATTTATTTTTTTTCCTTAAAAATTGGATACTTTTTCGTTAATAACAAATCGCGAATATTTGTTGTAAAATCATAATTCTAATTTATGCGCAAAAATATTAGGATCAAGAGGAAAAAAGGATCAAGTCGATATCTTAATTCATTTTTTAGTTATCAGTTCCGTCAGCTCGAAAAACATAGTTTCGAGAAAAACGCATTTAAAGTTTTAGTTTGATTTTTTTCATATATAACAAAAGTTTCAGTGCACTTACGGTTATTTTGCAATACCAGGATCATATAATAATCCTTCCTCCTCTTCATAAAATTCGTTTTCCGCCAATCTCTCCAATTGCTGAGCTGTTCTGGTTTCATTTGATTCTGACGTGCGACAATTTGCCTTACTCACGCGCTGTCCTTCTTTTTTGTCGGCAAATATCTTTTTGTCTAAAACGAATCCCTAGGATGTTCATTATTCTTAATAAGCTTACAAAACCGTCGTTAAAAGTGCATGTTGTAAAAAATGTTGCAATAGATATAAGTTTTGCTTAAAAAAATGTGTTTCGACGCGTAGTGCCAGAAAACTTCGTCGTAACTTTCGTTTGTGTATGTCCTCCGAAACATCATATTAACAAATTATCGTCAGAAAGATTCTCATAAGTGGCAGATTGTACTTCAGAAGTCAGAGGTGGATCGTGAGATTATGAGATAATCCTGAAGTGTGCCATTAGCCTCCGCAATACGCAATACGTCGTATTGCTAATCCGTAATAGTCTTTAATTAATTTATTAGTTAATTTTTTCTTCCTTTTCCACCAATACCTCTGTGCGATTTTTGGCATTTCTCAATCTGCTTCCCATGTGCTTTTGAACGTGTCAAATGCATTCTTTTTTTTTACCGATAATTCATCTCTGTATGGGTTTTTATTGAGTAAACTTTTGAAAGTCTTGCTATCTCCGTCACCTATATAATTCTCGTATTTAACGCTATGTAAATCTTGAGAACGTTGGAACATTTCAATAATGCCATTAACTTTCATTTTTTCGATGCTTCCTGAGTGATTGATGGTGCACTCTTTTTCGTGTTCTTCTTGCCATAATAACTTTTCTATAGAATCATCATTTTCTCGAAGTGAACAAAAGCTAGATTTGATTACAACATCCAGTACCTTGTTTGTATACTTTCCAATCAGTGTAATGATGCCAAATAAGGATGAAGAGCCTCTTTTATTCCATGTACCATTATCAGATACAGATAAATGTAAAGACCCATTTCCTGCTTTTGCGTTTTCTTCGATTTCTTGTTTTTTGCAACGTTTTTTATACTGAGATTTTATACTGAGCACAGCTTGTGCAACTGTGTAAATATTATCCACAGTAGAATAATACATATGCATAGTAAAATCGGTACATAAATCCATGAGACCACAGAATATATTTAAGCCACATAATCTAATGCCCAAAACACGCATCACAAATACCATGCGTTGATTAATCTCAAATGATCGATTATTACTAAGAGGGCAAGAAGGAATGGTTTCTGTTCTGTAACTACATTCGATGACCAATTAAAATCCTAAACCCATTTCCAGTCTTACTAGAACTTCCTTTTTGCAATCTTTGCACACCAGTATTTCAGTTAATTTAGCAAAAATCGATAAAAAATTAATAAAACAATAATTTTGCAACATATCCACTTGCATATCACTATTATTAGATTCTTTCAATTTTTTTGCCGATGTATTGGCAAACTCTGTTTCAAATTCGCTTGAATATCGATTCCCATGAAAATATCGTTTCTTTCCTTTATGTCCAGGTCGATTATTACTATCGGGAAATTTCTTTTCACGGAACACTTTGAAACATACGTAATCGGCGATAAAGAACGAGATTCGAACAGTCCTAACCATTTTCTACCTGCTCCTAGTATGTAAGTCTTTTTGTGGACCAATAGGAACTCTCAAAGAATAAATTATATCATCTATCGGTTTTTTCTGAAATGTGACCTAAATAGCATTTACAAGAGCTGCTGCACTAATAAGCGCTTGGAGGCTCCGTGCGTATTTGAGCTCGTGGCTCCGTTAATATTGCGAATTTAAAAAATCCTTTTACAGGAATATTTTACACACATGTAGGAATAAAAATAAGCAAAAAAATTGATTTTTTGACGCTTGCAAAGGTGAAACCCCCTTTATAAAAACACATGCACTCACTGTACAGCCTGATGACGCTGCATTGGTGTTAACTCCTCTTCGCGTCGCGTTAGCCCATCGTGAATACTGAACGCTAGACTAGTTACTTTTTGCGTTATAACCATGAGAGGCCCTGAAAAGAATATTCATATATGTTACAAAAGCGGTGTATGAGAATAATGATTGACGATGAGACTTATCGCTTTATCGCCGAAACACTTGCGAACGAGACGTATTGGCGTGTGCATAATAGCGAGACATAATAAACGCTCAATATCATACACATACTGCTCAATAATCAATATCATACTGAATGTGACTATAAAACATCGTTCGTAAAAAATAAGGAAAGTAGACTTATAGGGTGATGAATACGAAGGATTTAAGCGCACAAAATTGATATCGAAAATGACATGTGTCTACTTAGAAGAGTCTAAATAAACAAATGCGTCATATTCAAAGCGTGAAACTTACATAATCGCAGGCAGTAAGAAGTGACAACATCGCGAAGATGTTATTATTACTTTAATAACACGGTCATGCTTATGAGAGCGTAAAATGCTACTGCATCGCATTGCATTTAAAAACATTTCTGAATATAAATACAAAAGCATAGATGTAATTATAAAAAAAGTTGTAGAAAAAATATCTATAGCTTTTCTTCTAAAATTATTAACTTCTTAATTACGCACGCACGCACGCACACACACAGGGTGTCTCACAATTATCATACAATACTTTCATAACGTATCCTATGAGGTAAATCATAGAGGTAAAATAAAAAATTCTAATATGAAAATGTCGAGGTTACAATAGTTTTTGAATTATAATTGATCAAATATAATTCAATAACTATTATATCGACATTTTTGTTAAGATTTCGACTTAGAATGTTCCAAAGACCTCACAAATAATAATAGGGGATATAAAAGTAAAATAATTTTACTTTTATATCCCCTATTATTAGCATTTAAAGAGTAGCTTATAATTAAAAAAATTATTCAATAAATAAGAGTCTAAGAGTCGAAGTTGGATCTTAGGTGCTTCAATAATTTTCATGTTAATTTATATACGTAGTCATTATGTATGTCATCATATATGTAGTCATTTGAACTGTGCGCCGAATTGGTTTTTCGAAGTTAGAAACGTAACTGAACTACTATAGTAATATCACAAATTAAATTGACAAGCAATTTAATAATTTAATACTTAATCAGGTATTCTATAAGAGATGTTAATGTGCTGAAAATCTATGAATAAATTTATTGCGAAAAATATTATCTCGGCCGGGAGTGGAATGCGGATCTCAAAAAATTATTGTAACCTTGACATTTTCGTATTACGAAAAAAATTTTTATCCTATCTCTAGAATATGCTGTGAAAGTGTCGTACAATGGTGTATGGTACGAGTGGTGTGTGTGTGTGTGTGTGTGTGTGTGTGTGTGTGTGTAAAATGTATATATTTAATTAAAATAAGGAATGCTTTTATGCAACGGAAATTATATGAGCTATCTTCTTCAAATAAGCCGAGTGAAATCATGAGTTGAACGTACCAGTGATGTCGAGCGTGTACGAGCCATAATCGTAGATCTGCCGGTGAAAGTGAATGCACGATAAATAGATTAACGCAATTGCGAGGACAACCCTGAAACACATTCAGATGCACATGTCAAGTTCGTGCGGCCATCGTCTTTACTCGCGTGATTTTGCTCGCCAGCTCAAATGTGGTTAATTCGATAATAAGCACGCGATTCATTACGTCATAAATGCAAACGGTCGCGTTAAGTGCACTTTACACTGCGAATAGATGAATCATTGTTATCAATAATATGCGCACAATCTTTCCTTGTTAGTTTGGGAGAGGAAGAAGGCCTGATATATCACAATGATAATTGTCTCAGGATGAATTATGCTAAGAATGTATTACTTGATAAAGCGCACAAAGCTGATTATCCGACATATTATAAGAAAGAGAATAGCTATTACATTTAATAGAAGTTGCCATGATTGGCTAGAATATTGATATATACAGTATTTTTAATGCATACTAAAGATATATTTACAATTTATACTCATCTCACCTCTGCATATTGTGGGGATTTTGTATGCGCATCGCTACGTAACATAATGCAGGAAGAATAGCAAGATGGATTGCTTGCCTGAAAAAAAACATTGATAAATGAATTCTTCTGTCAAAATAAATATATATACCGATACTTGATAGCACGCTGACAAAACAGTTGCAACTAAAGAATTAATCTTGAATGATAAATAACTTAAAATGGAGTTTTTATGTATCAAATGCTTACCAATACTTTGTGTTAACTCCTTGTCAACATCGAATTGACACAAGGTGAAGATCTCATAAAATCTCAGAAAATATTATATAAAAATATTATAATTTAACTACTCTAATTCTAATCATATTGTTTGTCTAACTGATCTAACACTAAACTAAATATTATTTAGGCAAGCAATAGAGGAAAAAAATTATAAATTGGAATTTCTTTAAATAGCACATATTTCGAGTTACAACCATTTTGCAACAAGCAAAGATTCACATACATTACTTTTACATGAATGGATAGAATGTAAGCTTACCTGCCAAAGCAAAAATATCCAAGAGCAAGGCCGATAGTAAGGCCATAAACATGTTTGGCAGCGGGGGTAGTAGCGATGGGGCTCAGAGATGATCTTAATAATGTAGCTAATATGAGGGCTGTGAATTGCGTCAAGACAAAATTTACCTGTACAAACAGAAGAAACAGATTCATTAAAATCTATTTTTATAAATCAGAGCTCTCGCTTAATCCATTTATCATATAATTTATAATATAATAAACAGAAGTGCAAATTTTATTAGTTTGAATCGCGTCCATTGTAATACTACTGAATTACATATATGTCTTGTATGCAAAAAATACCAAGTGCAAGATATTTGTATTTGTTTTGAGAGGTGTTTATTATTTTTTTTGCACATCATAAGAAGACACTTTCGAAGAAATGTCTCTTAAGCTCCTTTCAAATGCTCCTTTTTTTATTTCCTAACGATATATACTTAACGTAGGTACTAGATTCATTTGACTTCGCAAACAACGCCGAGATACGCGAATGATGAGGTCATTGATCTTTGCATCAGTGGTTACTGAACTCACCGTATTAAATTGGAACAAATATTTCCAGTGTATTTTGCGATTCACAGTAAATTTATTTGCAAAATCAGGTACGTTATTCTTTCTTTTCTAATGGAAACTAATAACTAGTTTTATTATTTTTTTATGAGAATATGGAACGTAAATTTTAATTTAAATTAATGAAATCTATATGAAATTGAAAGAAGTAGAAAATGAATAGAACTTTGTAAATTTTTTGAAAATTTCATAATTTTAAGTTTCCTATGTGATTCTTTTTATGTAGTTCTTCTAAAACGTTGTATGATAAAGTTAAAATAATAAATTAAAATTGGTGCATATATATATATGTATGTGTGCATGTAAAACTTAAGATCATAAAAAAAGGTACATTGTTGGCCATTAAAATTGTAAAAAAGACTGACATATCAAAATGATATTTATGTAGCAGATATCTTTGACACATGAAATATTTAGAAACTACAAACGTTTTTTTCGTTGTTATATAATTTAAATGACCAGTAATATATATCGTAAAAAGTCGTAAAAAAAATTATGTATCTAAATAACATGTATCTTACAAAGAAATTATCATTAAATATATTATAACAGTGAACACAAATTATTGACAATTTGTATTCATCAGTACATATAATGAAGTCATTGATAAAGCCATTGAAAAATCAACATTAGGTTTATTCTTTAAGGTTTATTCTTTCAAAAGACTTTTAAATACTTCTTGTTGATACAAATAGAAATTATATAAATAGAAATAAATAAAAATTTTAAATGTCGATACGTGGTCAAAGTTTAAAAATAATAATAAAGTCAAAAGGCATACACCACGAGCGCTCGATGTCGTCAGCGAGACCTCTTTCGAAGTCAATACAATCACATTCAATTAATAAGTGAATAAATTAATATAAACGTTTCGACCTACTGATGATGACCCAATTAGTAGGTCGAAACGTTTATATTAATTTATTCACTTATTAATTGAATGTGATTGTATTGACTTCGAAAGAGGTCTTGCTGACGACATCGAGCGCTCGTGGTGTATGCCTTTTGACTTTATTATTATTTTTAAATAAAAATTATTCTCCCATTCACTTTTTTTCTAATCATGTTTTTATTTTTAAGTACATATCTATTTAAATAACTGATCCCGTTTTCTGCTAGTAGGACGCACCGCTAAGAATAGCACGATAAGGATTTCGCTAAAAATAGAGAAGGTAGTGGCGCGCACGTCGATCATTCTCTAAAGAGTGCATCGTAAAATCCGACCGCTTGTTATGAGTTTGTTACAATTTAATTTGGTATTGCTACCGTTTTCTTGTAGCAAAAAGATAATATAATTCCACCGTCTATTCTTACTTACGACCTTTGATGATGTGAGACGATTCGTAAAAGCTATGCAACACAATGTAATAAATCTCTTCATTACCTGTTGCGTCTGCTTAAAATACTATATTTAATGACGAATTTAGCTCGATATTCATAATTGATCCTTATATTTAAGACTGTCTTAAATACAGTCTTAAGATGTCATAATCACAAGTTGTATTAGTATTTTTAAGACATTTACTTAAGACGGTCTTAAAATAAGAATAGACTATCAATTCCGGTCTTAGACTTCTTTCGCCTTTAATAAATTATAACAAGTGAAGAACATAATATTATAAATAGCAATAGGTTAAGAAATATATTTTTATATAGAGAGAGAGAACTGATCGCTTTCTCACATTATAAAAAGTTGTAAAAGTCATGGTTAATCCTCAATCATTAAGGATGTATCCGAGTTATTCCAAAAATAGTACCAAATTGATGAAACTTCGGGAAACTCTTCCTTTTTTATCTGTAATATACTAAAAAAAATTTCAAGTAGATTCACTAAACCGATAGAAAGTAATTATTATTTTAATTATGATGATTATAAAAATTTAATATTAGTACTGGCCAATTAATAACTTATTTAAAAAAAAAGTATTAAAAATATTATTAATAATATTTTTAATACTAAAAATAAGTGATTAATTGACCAGTATTAGTATTAAAGTTCTATAAGAGATGTTTTCTTATGGGAAACACAACTTTGTTGAATGTAATTAGTAATAAAAGTATTGAAGAAATAGTACCAAAATCTATTTTTCGGTAATTTTACAGGTAACTGCGTTACTTCTTTTTGGTAACTGTAATGGTAACGTAGTTACAGTTTTTTTGGTAACGGTAACGAATTTTACAGTTACTTTTATCGTTACTTTGTACAATTGGATACGGTTTGATTGGACACAATTGGACATGGTTTGATTGGACACAAGCTACTCAGCATTTAAGTCTAGAAAGTCCCTAAGCACTTGCTGTGATTGGTGATCGTCGATTTTAAAAGAGTAACGGAAAAATTACGAAAAGTTACTTTCTTAATAATGGTAACTTACTTTTAAAAATCGGTAAATAATAACGGTAACGTGTTACTTTTAAAAAGTAACTTTCTATTCGCTAACCATAATGATTGCGATATTTAATAATAAATGTCTAAATATTGCGCTCCGATATCTGCATTGATTCTCATTGGTCATTTTTATTTCTTTTTTTTATTGATTCGTTATTAGAGCCTTTATTATTTTAATGATTGTTTATCTGTAATCTTACATCGCAAGATAATTATCTTAAATCGAATGATATTTCTTTTTATTTTCTCAGGATCTGTATCAGTTGTTTATCTCTTTTATCATATTTTATCTCGTATTTTACGTATCTCAAATGCGTCAGATCCGTTTAATAAGTATAAAAAAAAAACTATAAGTACCTCTTGAACAAATATAAATATCGTACTTATATATAAATCTATTATTTTCTATATTTCGTTCCCGAAGCTTGAATTCCCCTTCAATTCTTTCCTCAATTTTAAGCTTATTGTCGACATTAATAAATAGATTTTAAAAAACGATATATATATATATATACTTATGAAAGTTGTGTTCGTAACATTCTGTTTTGATTGAACATATTTTTATAGTTTATTTATTTTATTTGTTATTTTATTGTTAGAAATTAAAATTTTAAAAATAATAACGAAAACTTCTAAATGTATTTTTTAAGTACTTTAAGTACTCAAAATAACTTGTACAAAGTTTCATTGCAATTCACTAGTTAGTTACAAAAATTTAGAACAAATATTTTGTTTATTTACTGGACAGCTAATTTCTGCATCGTAATGTAACTTTACACAAATAATCTTGAATACATAAAATATTTATATTAAAAATTGAGATTTTTGTTATTTATTTTATAATACATTTCCATATATTTTTTTATCTAGAACAGATTAAGAAATATTTCTTATTGTGTGAAATAACTTATGATCCAGATGACAAACTCATTAAAAAAATATTGTATTACTTTTAAATGTGATTTAGAATAATTTTTAATATATAATTTTTACATAATTTTTTTTTATTATTTTGAAAGATCTATCAAACAACCTTAATAAAGAAGGTTTGACACTGCTATAAAGAGAATACTAACGCCACTATATTTTTCGCAATGTCCCACTTCAATAAAGATCAGACGCATTTTATTCGATCGCGCTTCAATAAGCTTAAATTGATAGTTTAGAGGTGCGGTCGTCCAATTTGCTCAAGGTAAAATTTTATTAGCAAAATCGAAATATATAATCCAGTTTTATTCGCAATAGTCTTATCATCACGTAAACTAATATCTTTGCCTATTTGTGCCATGCATTCTTTTATCATATTATGTATTCTGTCTTCGTTTCCTTGCGTTCTTCTTCTTTTTATGCATGCCCCTCTCCTTTGCGCTTGCCTTTTCAAGATAATGCTTACAATTTTTTTAAAAGAAGCTTTCATATCGGCATCGCAACGACGAAATAATCAGGGACTTTTTTAAATAAACAACAAGCAATTTCAAACAAAACTGCCCATAGACTTATTTCTTATTCCAAAACGATGAAATATTCATAGCCGTCCAATATTTCCAATGTAATATTATTAAAGCAGTCCCGTAGAATGACGTAGAATGACGTTCGCAAATTTGCAAATGCCTTGCCATAAAATTGCACCAATTTTAGTACGCTTAAGACGTATATTATTTAGAGATAACTCGTACGTTGTAACTCATTGTTAGAACGGTTCGAGTTCGGAGCGAATATAACAAATTCTGAATTTTTAATGTAATTGTCGATTCATTTAGCTTTATCATGTCGATAAAGCATTAATTATTCTGACACATTAAGAAATAATACTTAATTTACTACTAATAGTAACTCAATCATTAATACTTTTTGAATAAAATATTTTGTCCTGAACTTACATATAAGTTTTAAAATAAACTTTCCGTACAATCTAATAGTAATTATTAATATAGTAAATCATTAACAGTAATCATTGATACTAAATCATTAAAAACTAAGTTACTATTAATATAATTTTTTTTACAAAAATTTTGTTTATAGAAATTAAATATTAATTAGCAATTTATTAATAAAGAATATAATAGATCGTATATTTCACAAAATTATTTTACCTAAAAAGATGTATAAACAATTAAAATATATTGTTATCTCAATAAAATAAGTGAAAATGAAAAATTGTATTATTTGGAAACATCAAAAGTATTCATACAATCTGTTCTCTCTTATTTCAAGATTACAGTATTAGAGCGATTTGAGTAATGTTTGAAGATGTTATACAACTCTATAAGTGGTTTATAATATCTTAAAATTGTACTCAAGACGATTACAAATACAAGAATACGAACTATGAAAATCACGAACAAGGTCTTTTGTTTATATTAGGACAGAACGTATTTATTGTTCATATATTGTTAATTAATGTTTATCTTCTACAATATTTTTAAATAAAAATCTCTATATGAATATTTTTTGCATTTATTATACATATTCAGTTTTGTAAAACAGATAATTAATGCTTTATTTGGAAGATTAGATTATGAATGATAAATGATAATTAGAAAATTTGCAGGAAGTAATTCTGTCGGTTAAATTAACCACCGATTAAGTTAATCGGAGTTTGATTGAAGCCACCTATAGTATTTTAAGTGAACAACAGTTCATTTGTTATTGTTTTAGCGATAAACTCTCTCAATCAATTTATCTTTGAGCGTTAAATCGCTCGATCAAGGCTGAGTTGTTCCACTCTTAGATAAACTTCAGCTCACTGTCTTACTCTCTTATGCTTTTACTCTTTTGTTTATACTGCAGGTAAATTACCACATAGTTTATCCGAAGATGAGATAATCAGTCCCAAATAGTTTCGAAAATAGTTTTTTTAAATCGATGCACTTAGACGAGGTGCGATTGAATTTGACCGCTAAAATTTGATATCAAGGCGTTCGAGTATAGAAAAATCCGAAAGAGAAAAGCGTGTAATTCGAATAACAGGAATATTCGCGGTTTGTCTTGAATCTCAACAATAAGGGTGTTACAGAACGGAATATATGCGCGTCGTGAGTCGTGACGAACGCATTTTCCGATCTTGACGCTTACGTCATCGACAACTGAGATGTACGACGTAATTTTATATAAACGTGTTGTGTTAAATTAGAAAAGAAATATATCTTTTTACGAGGTGTGTTTCTTTATAGCTAGGAAGCGATCATGTAACTTTTTTCTTAGAGCGGAAAAAGTAAACAATTTCTCCATTACTTTCAATAATAATTTTCACGTTTCCTCTTATACGTTTTCTTAGGGAAAAAGTTACACGATCTTGAACTAGTATACACTCCTTAGGTTTGTTTTATTATTCCTGTACTTTTCACTCTCTAGAACTTTCCTTCTCGCTTTCGCGGGATTTTAAACATATATTCACTTCACATACCTACGTATTTATATTAACTTCAAGTACAAATAGTTCGTTCTTATTTTAAAATCTTAAGTAATGTCTTAAGATGTTAATAGGACTCTCTGATTGATTCATAACATCTTAAGACTGTACTTAAAATAGTTTTAAATATAAGAACTGATTATGAATGGCTTTTTGTATTAAAATGCCTATTTCTACTAACATAGATTAATTTTAATCTCGATTTAACTTATTTTCTAATTTTGAACTAGAAAAAGATAAAAAATAAGTTAAATCGAGATTAAAGTTAATCTATGTTAGTAGAAACGGACAAAAGTAAAATAGATATACATTTGAAACTTGGCGAAGAAAAGTTTTAAAATGCAGTCTAAACAGCAATAAAAAAAAACAGATCTCATACGAATTGCTTTCGTCTTTTCTTCCCGCACACACAGTAAAGGAATAACATATTTTATATAATTCACAATTTAAGAAGAGAATCTAAAAAAGAAAATGTAAAGAGAATCTTACACTGTTAAAAATTTCATTTTGACATTAAATTTAATATATTTATAACTGAAAAGTATATTTGTTTACACGTACATGTGAAATTTAATGTATTTTTAACAAATTTAATATACACGTTCCTTACATTTAAGTAACTTACTACTGTAATTTAATTTTCAGTTAAAGCATTCATTATTTTTAATTTCGTTCACAACCACAAGCTTTATTTACACGTAAAGGAAGCATTTCTAACAATGTATAGTTCAAACTTTGCTACGCGCAAATTTAAAATGCAAATATCAAACTAGATTAAAAATTCATAATTAGACGAAGAATTACGGCATGAAAAAAAAAAAAAAAACACTCGTACGATCATAACGTATCGAAAGCCATTACGCAATTAATCTTACTTGAGGAGAAAATTTAACTGCATTATAAATATAAAATACGGTTTATTTATCGCTACAAGTGTTCCGGAACATTTGATTACCAAATTAGAAGATCGAATTTTACTAATTGATCAATTAAAGACTATTTCAAAGTTCAAAAAATTTGTATTTGCGAATCAAATTGTAAAACTATCAATTATCAATCAAATTAACGCAACTCGCAAAAACGTACCGAGTAAGCCATAAAATTTTTCTTCAATTGCAATCATCCAGTTACAATTACTATGAATTTTTTTCGAATATAAATCTCTCATAAGTATATGTAATTTGTTATAAAATGCTCTGTTACTCATTTTTTATTCTCATCTCATTTCCATGCAAATTATCGGACTGAAAACATGATCGAGGCGCGACAACGATCGAGAGGTGGGTCGCGTTCCAATATAAATCGATCAAGTACGAATTTTTAATTCGCTTTCGCAAAATGTATAACGGGGAAAGGCACGACGGAAGGATCGATATCACCCCTGTTATCACCCAGGAATCTGCCGGAGGACAGCGGCACCGGCGAGTGTGCGGCCGGCCGCTCCTCTCTCGTAGACGACGTTCGCGTCTCACCTGGTCGATCGGTAATCCGACGAGGTCCGCGAGCCAGGAGAAGGTGCGGAAACCGTCGTAATAATCGTGGTCCACGGCCATTGTCACGCCGAGAGTTGGTTCTGTTGTGTCTCCAATGTCGTGGGGCGCGCGAGGTCCGGTCGTCACGGACCGAGCGGCGAGCGGCGAGGACGTCGAGGAGGTGGAGACGAGCAGCAGCTTTCAATAACTTTCAGTCTTCAGGGAACGTTTCGCCGTGCCGGTTTGCGCGTCTGACGCGCGAACGCGACGTACACCTACAGACGGGCGACTGCGAACTAAGTGAAATCTGAAAATGAACAACACGCAGCCGACTCTTCGTAAATCGTAGTTCACTACCGGCATTCAGACAGAGGCGCTCAGCCGCTCATACTCATATAGCGCGTCACGCCGGTCACGCGGTTCCCGCCGACCAATCGGCTGCGAGCGAGTCCACGCCACGTTTTTTTTTTTATTACTGCATTGAATTGTACTCATCGCACTACTTTTTCTCTCGCTTTCGCAAAATATCAAACACATAAGTTGTTAGCGGTCATGATTCAATTATTGAATGAAATAACAAAAATTTTTATAGCTTTTAATAATATGTACACCAAATAAATTTATCTTACTAAATTTTTATAAACGAATTTATTTAGTCATAAATATCATTGAGTTTAATATTTAAAAATTTTATTTCGTTCAATAATTGGATCTTGTCCATTAACTAGTTCACATATTTATCTTACTTATTTCAATTTAAGTATGTATGTACAAAAGAGTGCATTATTAATTAAGCTATAAAAATAGACGTAATATAAAATGTGTTTGTACTTACGTAATTATAGATCTGTGACGTAGAGACAGCAGAGGTAGAAATGAGCTTTTGAAGAATTTATCAAAATCTCAATCGCGTGACTGATCACAATTTATTATCGATAATGTGACAGTTTGAACGCACGCGCAGCTAATGCCATTTTCCATTTTTTCTCTTTTCTACAGGGTGTCCCAAACTTTTTAACACTGCTTGTAGATAGAGATAGAACGGAATAAACTGAATCGAAAAGTCCGCTACTATTTTGCAATTTTCGCAATAATTGAGGACATATTTTGAAAACATTTAAAAAATTATGAAAAAATTACAGATGGTTTTATATTGCATTTGAAAGTAATAGAAAAAATTTAGCGGCAATGTTCTACATGGATGAAATTATTTCGATAAAAGATAGATATATCTAAACTTTTGATTTAAGTACTTTAACTATATATTTAAAATGATTTATAATATAATATAAAGCTTTATTGCGATGCAGAGATTAGTTGTTCTGTAAATAAGTAAAATTATTTTATTTATTTATTTATTTACAGAATAACTAAACAGACAATCACAATAAAACTTTGTATAAATTATTTTGAACACAAACTACTTACATAAAAAATTGAATTTTTTTAAGTGTTGTCAATAATTTAATTTTTAATAACAAATAGATTAAATAAATTATAAAAACGTTATTAATATATAGATATAATTTTATATATAACCTTCATATGTACATAGTTTATTTGAAGTGTAAATATTGAACACATTTCCAAATTTAATTTACTTTGCAAGGACTGTTATGACCAATATATCCTTCCAGATATTAATTTCTAAAGATTGCCGAATAAGCGGGTAAAATCGACGCATAAGACAATTTTAAAATATCTTTCAAAGTTCTTTATGAAATATCTTAAAAGCATTTCTTAAAGAACTCCTAAAAATATTAAAATTGTTTTATATATTGATTTTAGACATTGTACTCAATGGGTAACTAAAAAAAATAATTGCGAAAAGTAATATTTGTGTTAAATGTATGTATGTGCGAGCGCAAAGCGCACACACGCGTTAAGTTTATTTTGTATGACAGATAAGAGGCTGCGTTCGGACGCTCACGCCCTGTAAATCACTGTAAGCTTCATTCTATCTTTTATCACTTATTATATGCGGAAGAAAGATAGAATGAAACGCGTGAGCGCCCAAATACAGCATAAATGATTTAATAGGATAATTTAACCAAATGATTGTAACAGGATAATTTAGAACTTGTAGTAAAGTTTAAGATTGATAGCCTCTCTTGTTGTTAATTATCTTTCTTAGATTTATCATCAACAAGATTATCTTATCATTGAAAAATGCATGTACGATTATCATTAATATTATTTCTAAGTATTTCTTCAAGCATTAAACATGCATATTATAAAATTTACATAAATAAACTTGATGTACTTCTTATAGGCATGTTCGTGGAGCTATTGAGGTCACTTTTGATTTTTCTTGTCAAATTTTGTTATACATTGATTTAAATCATAAATCTAAAATTAACTACTGAAACGAAAGAAAATAATATAATAAACAAATTGAAAAAAACTATCTTTTATAGGACATAAGTATGAAAAAAATTTTTTCGTACAACAGTTTTTTTTTATGTATATGTAAATAAATTTCATATACATAAAGTTGTTTTTATTTCTTCTATATTGGCGACAAGTTTAAACGTATTTGAAAAATAATTTACATTTAATCTTATTATCGCACAGGTACTATTTTTCTCATAATAGATACTCTATCTCATAATACGTACCTACAGTATATTTACATAATATATGACTTCAAGTGCATTCTCGAATCATATAATTATGCATGCATTTCAAATACATCTTATATAATATCTGCGAAAATATGTCGCAAGTTGTCAAATTATATAACGGTATCAATAATATTTCAGAATGTATCTATGAAATTTTTTAAAATTGCAATAGAGATTTACATTATTTTCGAGTACAGTGTCCTTGTTTTTGTGGTCTATTCCATAAATTTGTTTATAGCTAGTGAAAAATTTTTATTTGTAAATTGAAAACAGATGGCATATATAATCATTCACTTCCTTGAATTACTATCTGTTTGGTCATTGATTTATCACTGAATAAAATATGAAAAAAGTAGTGCTGAGAGACCAATCAAAAACTTTTTTCTTAAGAGCACAGATAAATTTATGCTGGATCAAATGCAAAAATCAAAGGAACTATATTGAAAAAAATAATGTAAATATAAATCTATTGAAGCTTTAATAAATTTTACGAATACATCTCAGATTATTCATTCACTCTCCTACACAATCTTAGGGTATACATAATGATTGAACTCGTTATCATTAAAAGCTTGACGAATATATTCGTCCAAATAAATGTACTACTATCAAATTGGTAGTTACAAAATAAATACAAAATAATATACCTATAAAATTGAACGTTTTACATTCACAACAGATAAACTTTTACTATAACATTCAGAAAATATCAAAATTTTCATTTAAAGTTAAACTTTTTTTTAGGAAGTCGAGCCCTTTCCACACAACACAGTTCCCCGAAAGAATTCCTGGCGACGTTCTTAGAACGTAGGACGTGCTCTAGACTCCTTAGGACATCTATTGAAGAATTGTGTTTGTGGATTATTGTGTTATGAATTTTCAATATTTACACTGTACATTGAAAAAAAATTTCAAATTCTTTATATTTCATGAAGTGCAAATATTTTTTAAATATTAAACATAATAAATTACCAATGATGAAGTAATAATATGCAATAATTCAAGAAGAATATTCTGATAGTAAGGGCTAATCAATAATCTGATATACAATAAACATATTGCCTTATCTTAAATGTGTGCGTTAAGTATTCTTATTTATAATGATGAGTCAATTTTATTTGAAATATATTTATGAGACGATAGAAAAAACTATAATCGTGTCAATATGCAATATAATCTCGTTGCTTTTCACACAAACTTGTAGAATACTACATTAAGTGAGAAAAATAAGGAGATTACAAAATGTAATCTCCTGTGATGTACATTTAAATCTTCTGTTTATTATCCCCTTAAATTTTATAAATATAATTATTGAGTTACTCATTATAATTTTTCTATCTAAAAATTAGGTAGAAAAATGAAAGTAGTCAATAAAATTAATTTAATGAAATATGATCATTACTCTATTAATATGTAATTTCAGCATTCTTCCAACACGAAAAAAATAATCGTGTAGTAAAGAATTGAAGTTGTATGTTTTTGTTCAAATTTTTCAACGTATTTGAAATAATTTTTTAAAATGAGAATTTTCATTATAAATTCTGTTTTAATTACATCTTAAAATTTTGAATATATTGAGTATTGTATTAAATTGTCATTGATGACTAGCTATTCTCTAAATTCTTTGGAGTGGAATCTCATTTTAAGAAGTGAAAATTGAGCCAATCTTGAAAAAAAAAAAAAATGGCTCAATTTTTAATTTTTAAGAGTGAGAGAAATTTCACTCTAAAAGTTTTAGAGAGTAAATAAGGTTTTGTTACTTACAGTCTCCAAGTTTAATAAGCTAAAGCATCTTAACTTAAAGTTACTTAACTTAGTATAATTAAGTCAAGCCAATTTTCGCTGAGGACAGATTAAGTTTAAATCCATTAGACAGTTCGAGATTGATGGACTAATGCGCTTCTTCCATACGTATCACGTCTTATATTGCTTCATTTAATTTTTATTTTATGTAGTTTTAGCTTGAAACCAAGAAGTTCTGAAAGCACTCCTGAAAGTGCCGACAGAAGCACTACTTTAGTAATAGTGTACAAATACGGATTAGCTGACAGCCCAGAGATTTTGAACGGACTCTCCAATTCCTGTAAAATATCCCTTTAAACTTATTTATATTAGTTCTTCATTGAATTTGTAAAAATGCATACCTTTATCAAGTCAGCCGCTAATTTCAATACACTATTTGCAACCATAAGTTCTTCTTTTTTATGTGGCTTTTGCTCAATTTGCAAATATAAGTTGATCTAAAAATTTTATTGAAAAATAAGACAGGTTTTAGAAAACTTTCTGGAATAAAAGTTTAAATACATTATAACAAAGTTGCCTACCTGTTCAGTTATCAAAATTGAGAGATTTCTGTACTTTTTGTTGATTTTTGTTCCTAACGTCATAAACCGCAATATAAATATCCCAAGCGAGAAGCTCCAGAATAATGCTTCGACATTATATCGTGAGTGTAAATTATCGAGATCCTAAAATAAGATTTGCATTATCAAAAGAAATAAAAAGTAAAAATAGATGTTAAAAAAACAAAATGTACTTACTTTAATTAGTTCCAAACTTACGAATGACAGCAATAATAATGTTATAATAAATATTGCTGAAACAATTACGTCTACAGATCGCTGCGGGCCTCTTCGCTACAATACAAAATTATATAATGCAAGATATGAAACATATAAGAATTTTTAATTGTATATAAAGACGTATATTTAATATTCTTACTTTCAAGTAAGATCTGACACTTAGCCATGTTTTTATATTGCGCACTTTATTCAAACGAAAGTGCGGTAAATCGGACTTTCGCGCACGTCTGGATGATGTCAAATGAGAGAATAATTTCGCGTACAAAAGTCTCTGCTTGTATGTTCGTTCTGCTACTGCTAGCAAGAAAAACAGACAGCATGACAACATAAATCGTTCAAACATTGAAATTAGCACCACTGTTCGTTCCCTAAGAAGTCATTTAAAAAAATTATTAATCCATAGATATTTTAAAATGTAAACATAAGTAGTATTCTCTTACCAAAAAGTATTTCCAAATGAGATACCAATTATTCTACACAAGACATCGGTGTATGTTTCCAAGTTTACCTGAATTATATCACTTGGTAATAGGCTAACAGATGCGTTACCAATATTATCTGATCCTATATGATCACTCAGTCGTTTTATCGATGGTATTAGACACAATGCAATGCTAAGTATCAGACCACCGTAAAAATAATTCATGCCCTCTGGCATGGATTCGACTCTGGCAATAATAGCTGAACTAATATCAAGCACTGATAATTCAGCCTTTTTTATAT